AACGCTTCCACTGAGGCTAGAACAAACACCACTTTAAATAGGTTACAAATCAAGATGACTAAAAACAAAACAAATGTCAATTATGTAGTCCTCGTTTCAAACTTTGGTCGTTGATTTCTACAATCACGTTACATTATTAATTGAAAAATTGTGTATGTAATTTCGTGGTTGAGGCGCCAAAGTCAAAATGATGTTGGCCTATTATAGACTAGAGGGAAGACGAAAGCTCTTCCAAAATCCAAAGTCGCAAGCTTTACTGCGGGGACCAATTGTTGCTCTTCTCAAGTCTACTTTTTATAGCATTTGTCGTTGGACCGTGTTGAAAACCTACCCTTTGGATCGTGTACAAAAACATATAACACGGGATTCATATATGTGTTTTCTATTTTATTACGAGATCATATTTTCTATTTTACTTATTCTCAGATCTGATTTATGTAAATAATTTATGTCCTATAAACACATAATTTCATAATACAATATATAAATTTGTAAAATAAGATACAATATATTTTGTGTTATACAACTATTAATCAATTTCAGGTACATAATCATTACGTTTAATGTACAGAGAATTGCATAACAAGATGTACAGAAATGCATAACACGATATATATACACATGTTTTCTATTTTACTACGAGATAAATACACATGTTTTCTATTTTACTCATTCTAAGATCTGATTTATTTAAATAATTTATGTCCTATAAGTACATCATTTCATAATACAATACATAAATTCGTAAAATAAGACACACAATATATTTTGTGTTATACAACTACTAATTAATTTCAGATTTTCAGGTAGATAATTCTTACGCTTACAGGGCGTTTGGTTGGAAGTAAGGAATTAAGGTGGAAATGAATTGCAATTCGGTAGGAAAAGAATAAGGTGTGAATAAAGTAGGAATTCAAATTACATTGTTTGGTAGGGATGAATAGAATTATTGGGTAGGGAATGAAAGAAGTGATACAAAGACTAAAATGTCCTTGTGTAATAATAATAGTAGTAATAATTAAGGGTACTTTTGTCATTTCATCCCTTTTTCCTTTTCCCACAACCACCGAATTGCAATTCATGGGCACCGAATTGCAATTCATAGGGGGTGCCCATGAATTGCAATTCAGCAAAAGGAGGGAATTGCAATTTCCTCCAACCAAACGACGTAATTGTGGCTTTCACTGAATTGCAATTCAACTACAGCCAAATTACGCACAACCAAATAGGCCATTAATGTACAGAATTGCATAACATGATTTACAAAAACGTATAACACGATATACATACACATGTTTTACAGTAAAAAAAAAAATAAAAATTCTATAACGCGAATAAAACAACAAACGATCGCCGTTAAAATTAAAGTTCAAAACGACGTCGTAAAATAAGACTACTACTAAGTATTATTATTATTATTATTATTATTATTATTATTATTATGACGAGAGAAATCGTAATCACTATTTCTGATTGTGCGATAGGTAAATATCGCGTTGTAACTCTAATGAGCAAATAATCATAAAAAGGTAAATCAGTCAAAGTTATCTTTGACCAATAGGTTGTTTATATTGATAATTAAACTTGTAACATTGTGATTACTAAATCAACCGTCTAACTAATTTGGTTGGGTTGTTGTCACCTTTCTTATATTATTTTTAGTATTATTGATGGTGGAGCTAATAGTATTGGATAAGTATTTTGGGAACAATAAAAATTTAAGATTTAAAGGTGATTGATAAAATATGAAGCAAAATCTAAAGTGGGGGGGGGGGGGGGGGGTATTTCAATACATAGTGATTTCAATACATAGTGAACATATATAATTATTAAAAGTTTGATGGGTAGAGGGTAGCCCTATTATACATATAACTCGAATATTGGTTAAACTTTTTTTTTTTTTTTTTTTTTTTGTGTCAACCACACATTGTCCCGGTTCACTTCGAGAGGCATAAAAATTGGTCCAAAAGAAATCGTCACTTGTGAGAATTGAACTTGGATTATTCCAGAATTCTTCCCCACAAAAAAAACTCATTTATCACTTGACCTACACTATTGGGTTGAATATTGGTTAAGCTTAATTGAATAGAATGGGTAGATTTGCATTCAACTGTGTGATAGTGCATCCTCTTTAGCAAGTTTAACAAGGATCCTTGATTTTTTATTTTTTTTTAAAAAAATAAAATTGAGTTTTTCTTCACAAAATTGCTATGTTTCTCTCATATTTTATTGACAGAAGTATTAAATAGGCTCATCTACTACTGCGAAGTGCTCAATTCCCACCATGAACTAAATTAAGTGTCAAATAGGTCCATCTACCAGCTAAATTTGTTCGATTGACTTTTTTTTGCAGGTTACTGACAGGTTGTCCATTCAATTATTACCTCTCTCACTCTGAAGTCTGAAGCTTCGCCTCTCCCATCAACATTAAGTAGAAACTCCACCAACACCTCCTCCTCCTACAATCCCACAACCACAAAAGCTTCACCAACAAAGAAACATGTGTTATTTTCCGGCTGTGGAGAGGAAAACCTACAGCCGAAAGAAGTCCCTCACTGATTTTCGCAGCTGGAAACCATATCTCTGGTTTCCGCATCGGAAACCAGAGAACTAGATTTCGATGTGAAACCAGTTCACTGATTTTCGCATCGGAAGCCAGTGCTCTGTGGTTGTGTTGTATAATTTTATTTTTCAGAATTTTATTTGTGGTATTAATTCTAAATTGGAGTCGAATTTTATTTCTTTGTGTAGATGGATAGAAATTATGTGCGTGCAATTGTTGAAGTATACCAATCTATTTATTTTCTTTTTTCATTCTGAAAAATGAATCAAACACAAAAAATCAGTTTTTCATTGTGCAGCCAAACATATAAAATGAAAATGTTTTCGAAAAAATGAATCATTTTTCATAAAACATTTTTCAAAAGTCATTTTTCTTCTTTCCAAAATCCAAATGGATCCCTAATTATCTCCCTCATACCAAACGCCCGAAACATCAGTGTGTATTGCTCATTTGTGAAGAGTAGCCAAATTCATCCCATCATACACTTAAATATACTCATTTGTTTTGTTTTGCTTTTTTTTTTTTTTTTTTTTTGGGGGGGGGGGGTGGGGTGGGGAGGGGGGTGGTGGGAAGCGGAGGGGAAATATACTCAATTGTTATGGGAAACAACAAATATACTCATTTGTTATTGTCTTGACCATTGAGCATTCACATTTATTTTGGCTATGTTTGGATAATTTTATTCGATAAATTCATTATAAAATTCATAATGATTATGTTATTTGTGCATCATTAATTACTAATGAATCACATCCTATGTTTGAAATAATTGCTCATTAAAAAAAAAAAAAAAAAAGCAAACAAAAAGGAGGAAACACGTATTAATACCTATGTTTGATTTTTTTTTTTTTTTTAATCCAAAAAGCATGCGCGCACACACAAATGTGTATGTAGGAATAAAATCATATGTGAACTATCGTCAGGTTATAAATTGATCTCAATCGTTGATCTTTTCAAGATTAACGGTGATAAAACAAAATAATTTAGAAAAAAATATGGTGATATTTTGATCGATAAATATTTTAAACTTGAATTACATCGACCAATACTACTGATTGATTTAATTAATCCGGGGTGACCTGAATTATTAAACTCGGATAAGAACGTATATAATAAAAGGATAGAAACGATGTCGTAATAGGTCGTGAAGACCGTATATCGTATTATGTGCTGTAAATAGGCTATTACAATGGTTCGTCAGTACAAAGTATGTAAACAAGATAGAATGTGTTTTGTTAGGACAAGTAGGGAGGCTTTTATACAAGCTAAACCCCCCAACCGCCTCCCCCTAAAACGGGGGGGGGGGGGGGGTTGGATCTCCAAGTTGACCGCGTCCGGTCTCGCGATCGGGCTACGCGGCGGGGGTCGGTCCGACCTCAGGTCGGCCTCGTGCAGAGGCCACGCATCGAGGCCTCGCGCCGGGGCGGGTACGCGGGCCACGCGGCACCGCTCCGGGACCCGTTCTTCCTCCGCGCTCTCGGGTCGGTTCAGGTCGATTCCTAATATATCCATCAAACTACAATGCATATGATCAACACTACAAAGTGTATTTCTCATGAGTGCACCATTATATATTATCGGATGCACTTTGTTGTTGTGCATGATGCATGTTCAAAATTTGAAATGTTTATAAAAATGTCAATGCATTTTTTTTAAAGATTTTATTTCGTTACTACCATTGATATGTAATTGAGATCAATCTGTAATTTTTGGTGTTGTCACTATATCCATTCTATATATATACATAATTTCTATTTGATTACAATACAATATAAATTTGTCTAAATAAAATAATTTGATAAAAGAACAAAAAAGTTGGACCAATAAAAAAAAAACTGGAAAATTTATTGGCATCAGGAAACACTGTGCACTTGCAGAGAAATTCAAAGCCTGTGAACAATGAACAATGGCGAAAGTAAACAAACAACAAATCCTCCAAACCATCACGACTCTCCCGTGAATCGGACGGCGTTCAAGACACTCAGTTTGACCCGATCTTTCCATGATGACCCGTTCACCGGGGCGAAAAAGTCAATGTTCCGGTCTCCTAGGTAACATTATTAAAATCGCAACGTGACCCCTCCAAAATCCAAATGGCATTAAAGCCAAATATTCTTGCCCACTAGTCAGTAAAAAGCTAGCGAAATTATGGATTGTGGTCAGATGTTATTCGCACCTAAATTTGACGAGGCAGATTTGTAGATTAGAGCGTCGAGTCAGTCACCTACTGTTTACTTTATCGTCACTTTTCTCTTTCACAAACCCGAATGATTAGAGAAATTCACAATTATTTTATAAGAATATATATTGGATGAATTTTGTAACTTAATTAGCAAAACAAAGTTAGTTAATTTATCCATAACTGATCGATTTAAATAAAAAAAAAGATAATAAATTACCCCACTTTTTGTTTTTCCTTCCTCTTTAACTTTGGCCAATGTCTATGGGGCAGACTGCACATACAGCATTTTGACTCTTGTTTCTGAGCACTGTTCTTTCTCTCTGCATATATTCTTGCATCTTTTTCTTCTTGGCTTCTGATTTGATGCTGAAATTAGGCAAAAAGTTGTAGCTAGCACTGAGAGTTGCCTACTTCCATCTTCTTATACGCAGCCATGGCGGTAGAGCTGATGATGAGTTACTGCAGGAATGTTGATGTTAATGGCGGTGGCGGTGGGAGGATTGGGTTTGTGAAGAGTTTGGAGGAGAGCGCGGTGGTGAAAGAAGCGGCTTCTGGGTTTGAGAGCGTGGAGGAGTTTATCAGATTGTTGTCGCAGGGGAAAAAGCAGGGCAAGGCGGCCATGGAGATTGATGTTGTGGCGGATGTTGCTGTCAATAAGTTTAAGAAGGTGATTGATCTTCTGGGTCGGACTCGGACTGGGCATGCCAGATTCCGGCGAGGTCCCGTCGCTTCTTCGCCGCCGCCGCCGGCCGACAATAAAGTGTATAGCCCCACGCCGATTCAGCAGGTTCCGCCTCCTGCATCTTATGATTACAGCGCCGCAGCCCACCGTTTCTTTCAGGCGGTTGAGAGGAAGGATAGCGCCGCGGCGCCGCCGCCGCCGATGACGATCAGTTTCACTTGCTCGCCGGAGATTTCACGCGCCAATTCCTTCAATATCTCGTCGTTGACCGGGGAGACCGAGAGCAAGCCGATGCTTTCTTCTTCCTCCGCTTTCCAGCTCACCAATCTTTCCCAAGTTTCATCCGCCGGAAAACCTCCTCTCTCCACGTCTTCCTTGAAGAGAAAGTGCAGCTCATCGGAGAATAACCTCTCCGGCAAGTGCAGCGGCTCCTCCAGCCGGTGCCACTGCTCAAAAAGAAAGTAATATCCTTTCCTTTTTCTCTCTCTGTCAATCATTATTATCCTCGACGAATCACTGATTCTATAACTGGTAATCAAAACAGGAAACTAAGATTGAAGAGGGTAACAAGAGTTCCAGCCATAAGCATGAAGCTTTCAGACATTCCACCCGATGATTATTCATGGCGGAAATATGGACAGAAGCCCATCAAAGGATCCCCACACCCAAGGTATATATTCTTTCATCCTTGTTTTCTGGGTGATTAACAAGATGATTAGCTTAAGATTGTTAAGGTTAGCCCGCGTATGGGTAGCTCAATTAGTTCATAGGTCTCCCGTCCTGGGCAAGGAAGTTTTTTGCACTTTTGATTCCACGGTACGGTGTCACTAACAATTTATATTCATCACGACTTTTAAAACTTAAAATTGATCTACGAGTATAACTTTCTTAGCAAATTTGGTCCTTCTAGTGTATTTTTCATTCAATTTTTGCTGAAAAATTTTATTCCACATTTTAATATGGGTAAAAGAAAGTCATTTTATTCCACATTTTAATATGGGTAAAAGAAAGTCATTTTATTCCACATTTTAGCAAATTTACTCCCATGTTAAAATGGGAGTAAAATTTTCCGGCAAAAATTGAACTGAAAATGCACCGGAAGAACCAAAGTTACTAAGAAAGTCATAGTCGTGGACCAATTTTACAAGTTTTAAAAGTCGTGGATCAAAGTTGTTAGTGACACCATAATTGTGGAACTAAAAGTGCAAAAAACTCTTGACAAGGTATAGTGTCAGAGTTCTTGTGAACACCATACACTACGTACTCTTTCCATGTGTACGGGTAGCTCAATTAATTCATAGGTGTCCGGTCGTGGGCAAGGTATAAGGTTGGAGTTCTTGTGGACACCATACATTACTCCTCGATCCCCATCTAATAGGTTACTGAATCACAGTGTCAATTTTATACGGTTGAAGTTTAAGACTTTGGGTTAGGGATTTCGCTTTTTGTGAGCAAAATTACTAAGGTTAACAACAAAATGAAATGATTGCAGGGGGTACTATAAATGCAGCAGCGTCCGAGGTTGTCCGGCACGCAAGCATGTGGAGAGAGCGGTGGATGATCCGACCATGTTGATAGTAACATACGAAGGCGAGCATAATCACTCCGTCTCCGTCGCAGAAACAAATGGTTTAATCTTAGAGTCTTCGTAATAATCACCTCATTATTAATCATTGTAATCATGTGCTGCATGCGTACTTAAATTAGAACTGCATGGATCGATCATCATATATATAGCTTTAGTTTTCGATTTGCCCTGTAAAAAAAATGCAGGCTGCATATGTTCATCACCGGTTCATCTGCGTAATGTCTTTGTAGCTTTAGTTTAAGGAGGTTTTAATGGTGTCATCAATCTTCACTGCATCTCAAACGAGATCCAGCAATGAAAACAAATTTCCTGTTATTTATTTATTCATTCATATCAATACTTCTTATCCTTTCTAATAAGACTTAATACCTGTATTCATCCTTCGACTATTAGAGTTTCACCACTATGATCCTCGACTTTCAAACTTACTCAACTTCATCCTCAACTATGCAATTTTTACTTAAATTAGTCATTTGTCCAATCCAAAATAGTTTTGATTAGAACCATTTTAATTTGGTTAACAATTACAAAAGTTGAGGATGAAATTAAACAAGTTTGGAAGTTGAAGATCAAAGTGATGAAATCTTAATAATCGATGGACCAAAACAGAAATTAACTCTTTCTAATAATTCATCCAAAGTCATGTAACTATCGCATATTGTATGACCACTATAATGTACTTGTACATTCGTAATACTTAACTTTGCCTATGCAAATTGATGGGAGGGGAATTAGTGGTCTTGCATTCTGCATTTGGCTCAAATTAAACTTATAAATATCTTGAGAAATAACTTATAATGAGTTTGAAATCTTTTATACTCATCAACAAAATAACAGTTTTCTTAGTAATAATTTTCTTGATTTTTGAGCAGTTAAGATAGCCGGATATTGACTGCACAAGTCGAAAAATCAACACAAACTACTCACAAGTTCTTGTTAGAATTTTTTTATACTATTTTAGGATAGCAGAAACTATGAAGCTAACAGAATAACAGAACATTCGTGGTGGAGAAGAAGGAAGAGAGTTGAGAAAGCTTTATTGACGTAAGAATAATCGGGTAAAATTAGTTACAGGTTGAGAAATAAACTATCGGTCACTAACAAACAAATTGAGCTGGACAGAGCCTAAGACACAAGACTAGAGTGTTGACTAGTGCGCAATTTATTGTCTTTCAATACTCTATCATTAATAACGTAATTTTATTATTAAAAGTTTAAGAAAAAGACTTAATTGGAATATCCTATATATGTTTAAAAAAAAAAAAAAAACCTTAGGTATACAATGAAAAATGGTAACATGGTTGGTGGGAATGGGTTTGAATCCGCTTCAAGTACATAACCTAATTAGTTGATTAATTTAAGGTGGGTTAAAACTTAAGAGTTTGTTTTCTTGACTATTTCAAACTAAGTGTAAATTTTGATTCTAACTTTTTGAGAAATTCATAAATTGTTAAGATATATATATATATACCCTAAGATTTACTTGTTTCATTGAGATTTTAGACTAAAAATATATTAAGATTTCGAGATTATTAATGTAATTTCAAAGGGGTTGAACCCCACACTAGTGCGTAGCTTTGATACAGAAGTCAAAATGAGCAGGCTGGGCATTGAATAATTAAGGTGTGGATTGTGGAATGAAGTGAGAGACAATTCTGCTCATGCTGACTGCTAATCTGGGCATGCATTATTGGATTCACCGGTCATTGGTTTGGTTCTTTTCTTTGACTGCTTGCCACCCAACTTTCCACAACAGACATCTTTCACGCAGCAACATTAGTTGGTAACATAACTGATCAATCAATTTTGATTATTTGACTGGTCATCAATAAATTACTTTAGGAATATTTGATAAGTGGCTTATTAGTCAAAGTTAATTTGTTTGATCAACCTTAATTTATTTGAATAGTTAAATAGCTAATATGAGTATTTGGTAAATAATTTTACCCTATTTGATAAATGGCTAATCATCCAAATATCTTATTTGATCAATTTTAACTTTTTGACTCATTTTAACTGTTTGACTGAGTCAAATAATTAAAATTGAGGGGGTTTGGTTGGAAGGAGAGAATTACGTGGGAAAGGAATTGCAATTTCATGGGGGATAAATTACTGAGAATAAAGTAGGAATTTAAATTCCAGTGTCTAGTTTATAGGAATAAAACTAATGGGGATTTCAATTACAATGTTTGGTATACATGGAAATTGAAAGGGAATAAGTATTATAAAGTCCAAAATGTCCATTGTTGTTGTGAGACATCAATTTTAAGTTAAAAAAGGATGATAATTTTGTCTCATCATTATCTTTTTTTTTTCTTCCCAAGATTCATGGAATTAAAATCCCAAGGGAGGACATGAGATTTTAATTCCATGAAAATGAGAGAACGGAATTGCAATTCCTTCCAACCAAACTAAGGAATTTGGTGGCCTTTGGAATTAAATAGGAATTAAGTGAGAATGAAATTTAAATTCCCTCCAACCAAACGCGTGTTAATGTTTGGTAAAATAACTTATTGGCTTAATCAGCTGAAAACCAAAACGTTGGATGCACCAACGTTTTCATATTGGCTTATTGCACTTCATTACTAAAAGACAATTTTAGCCTTCAATCTTCTTCTCCGCAAATTATGTTGTGCAACCGAATGCACCTTGCAAGGTGCATACAGTTGCAAAACGGCGCCGTTTTGGTTAAAAAAAAACGCGCGTCCCACTTAAAGAAGAAATGAGGTTCAATTCCCGACAATAGCATTTTTATATATCCAGAAATTCACAACTATATATCCAGAAATTCATAATTATATATCCACAAATTTATAATTATATATCCACAGTGAATGAATGAAGTAAAAATCCACAATGAATGAATGAATGAAGTAAAAATCCACAATGAATGAACTAAATATCCACAATGAATGAACTAAATATCCACAATGATTGAACTAAATATCCACAATAAATGAACTAAATATCCATAAATTCATAACTATATATCCAGAAATTCATAACTATATATCCATAAATTCATAAATTCATAACTATATATCCACAGTGAATGAATGAAGTAAATATCTACAATGAATGAACTAAATATCCACAATGAATGAACTAAATATCCATAAATTCATAACTATATATCCACAAATTTATAACTATATATCCAGAAATTCATAACTATATATCCACAATAATGCTATTGCCGAGAATCGAACCTGAATTTTTTTTTTTTTTTTTAAAGTGGGACGCGCGTTTTTAGTCAAAACGGTATCGTTTTGCATCGTATGCACCATGCGCATGGTACATTCGATTGCACGGCATAACTATTGCTTCTTCTCCTCCTCTTACAGATAGCCGTTGTAGTTCAGCTTGTTCATCAAATTGTGGCTTCACCACAAGAACATAGGAAAATCTAACTCAAAAACGAAAGAGAAAAAATGTCTTTTTACTGAGATTTTCTACAACAAAAATTGAGTAGCAAAAGGCCACAAAATGCATATATCAAAAATAAAAGAGAAATCAATACCTAGAAAAAGAAAAAAAAAAGGAAAATGTCAAATGGACTCCTAGACTTTACTCAGAAAATTAATTAGGTTTTAAAACTTTTAAAAGTTGAAATTAAACCCATAAACATGTTATATTGGAGCATTGACATCCTAAAATCAATTGGTGACCTATAATTGCATGTCACTAGGGTTCTGGCGATCCTTCGGCCAGCTCTGACGTGACAACCGGCAACCGTTCACGTTGAATAAGCCAGTGAAAGAAAAAAAAAACAGATCAACTATTAATTTACTAAACACTTTTTTACAACCTGCTAAACTCAAAGCTACTTAAACCAACTAACCTAATCAGCTATCACTTTAAAATTATTTGTCAAATAATCTCTTAGTGTACACTTCAATCATAATCATCAAAGTCATCAAATGAAGTAGCAATCTATATCTATATCTATATATATATAAAAGTAAAATCCTCCTAACAAATTTTCCCTCCAAAACTTTTGTAGTAAAACTTATTTGGTAAGTAAATGTCAAATGGAAATTAAATAAATAATAATAATAATAATAATAATAATAATAATAATAATAATAATAATAATAATAATAATGTTATTACCTTAAATAAATAAATTATTATACTTTCCCTTAAATAAATAAATTATTATACTTTCCTTTTGAATTAGTATTTTCTACTTATAAATACAAGAGTTTCTTCAATCAAAGAATCTCAGACTCATCTTTCTGCTTTCTTTTTGTATGAATTTTCTATATTTTTCTAACTATATTCTCACGTACTTCAATATGTTTTGCAGTTTGGACATCATGAATAGCTTCATCAACGGTATCTTCTTGAAGCTCGCCCAAGAGGTGACTCGCTTGGCCCACTACAACAAGAAGCCGATAATCACTTCTCGCGAGATCCAGGCCGGCATGAGATTGGTTCTTCCTGGCGAATTGGTAAAGCACGTTGTCTCTCTAAAAACACTAAAGCAGTCATCATATTTACAAGCTCTTAGATGAAATCATTTAAATCTATGTTTCGTTTTTATATAATCTCAATTAGGGATTAATAGATGTAAAGTAACTTGGATTTGAGTTTAATTTCATATTATTCTTCCAAAAGGTTTAATTTCATAGTATAAGTATTGTTATCTACCTTCAACTATTCGATTAGCATTCTCAAAAAAAATAATAACAATAATAAAATAAAAAAATTGAATGTCTATATCTACGTGCATTTAAAATGCAACATGTGTATGATTCATTAGGCTTTGAGGCAGGAGAACACATCTGGGTACATTGGTGGATCTGTATCTCATTGCAAAAAAAAATCCATACAATTAATTAATTAATATAATTACAATTATCATTATTCTAATTCAAAAAAAAAGTAAAGAATTAATTGTAATAATGAAATTTGTTATTAATATTCTGTTACTAATTGACACAGAAATCAGACTAAAAGAAAAACGAAATTAATATTAAAAATGGACTCGAATTAAAAAAAATGTGCTTAATAAATAAATAACTAATTTGCTAGACAGAAAATTAGGGTAAAGGAAAAAGAAAATGATTATTAAACATTGTACCAGATTGTTTTTATGATTGAAAATGAATATTACAAACGTACCAGATTGTTTTTATGACCAGAAATAAGAATGAATTTTACACACGAGAATCTATTATTAATATTTTGTTATACTAATAGGCATGGGAATCATGCCAAATGGAAAAAGGATTTAATATTAAAAATTTATTGGAAATATAACACAGTTTTCCCTACGAAAAAATTAGTAACCACCAAATGAAATATTAGGA